CTGAGTTTTTTACAAATTGAAGGACTGTGGCAACCCTGTGTCTAGAAAATCAATTAGCACCATTTTTTCCTAATAGTATTTGTTCACTTTGTGTCTGTTTCACATTTTGGTTATTCTCCCAATATGTCAAACTTTTCATTATTATTATATTTCTTATGAGGATTTATAATCAGTGATTTTTGATGTTACTATTGCATTTCTTTTTGGGCACCACAAACTATGCCCATATAAGACGGTGAACTTAGTCCATAAATATATGTGTTCTGACTGCTCCACTGACCTTCCATTTCTGTCTCTTTCCATCTCTTCAGGATTCCCTATTACCTGAGACACAACAATAAAATAATTAGGTCAATTAATAATCTTATAATGGTCTTCAAGTTTTCAAAAGGAAGAGCTGCACATCTCTCACTTTCAATCAAAAGCTAGAAATGATTAACCTTAGTGAGAAAGGCATCACTTATTTTAAGAAATTGCTACAGCTACCCCCATTTGCAACAATCACCACCCTAATCAGTTAGCAGCTGTCAACATTAAGGTGAAACCTTCCACCAGCAAAAAGATTGACTCACTGAAGGCTCAGATAATGGTCAGCATTTTTCACAATAAAATATTTTTAAGTTAAGGTATGTACATTGTTTTTTTAGAAATAATGTTATTGCATACTTAATAGACTATAATCTAGTATAACTTTTATATGCAGTGGGAAACCAAAGAATTTGTGTGAGTTGACTTATTGCCATATTTGTTTTACTATGGTAGTCAAAAATTGAACCTGCAATATCTCTGAGGTATGCCTGAATTTGTTGTTACATAACTGTATACATTCATTAAAATTCATCAAACTATACACCTAAAAGTGTATATTTAACTTTGTCAATTATACCTCAATTATACCTCAATTATCCTGAATCTTAAAAAAAGCTTCCAAAACCAGAATACTATCTATATAAGAAATTTGTGTTTTACTGTGAGAGTAATGGGGTCACATATAGAAATATTGATTTGTGCTTTGGATTAATGATTGCCAAAGAAGGTTGTAGGTACCACAAGGTATGTGTGAAAATATCCTCTGGAATGTACCAAGAATATATTAGAAATTTATTTTTTAATCTCTTTAATTAATTTTTGTTAACATTTATTTCTGAATTTGCTTTAAAATGTAGTGGGGAGGGCACCTAAAACACCTAACTTTTGATGCAGGTATATAATTCTTCCTATAAATTCTTATCTTCATTAAATATCTCTTTTATTGAAAACTAGTTAACACAGCCCAACCAGTGTGGCTCAGTGGTTGAGTGTTGACCAATGCACCAGAAGGTCGCCAGTTCGATTCCCGGTCAAGGCACATGCCCAGGTTGTGGGCCAAATTCCCAGTGGGGGGGCATGCAGGAGGTGCCAATCCATATACTTTCTTATCGATGTTTCTGTCTCTCTCTCCCTCTCCCTTCCTCTCTCTCTAAAATCAATAAAAAAAAGTTTTAAATAAAGAAAGTTAGTTAACAGGACAAATGTCAAGAATTCAAATGATATCAGCACCTTAGAGTTTGTGAACATTATCCTCATTGGCAGAGCCTTTAACTGCAGTGAAGTTTTCACATGCTACTCAACCACGTGAGCCAGAGGAAAGGAAAGCGTTAAAGCCAAAGTGTTATAATGTGGAGACAGAAATCAGGTTAAGAATATGTCCCCAGTGAGAAAGCAGAAGCCAGATATCATACTATAAACAGTAGTTATAGAATAAACAAATGCCAAGATTTTAGCGTATAATATAGAAGAGTAGAAATGGTCCAGTTTGAATACTCCCAAAGAACATGTGGGAGCCATGAGCATTGGTAAAGCAAGGAATCTTAGAAATTAATGGTTATTCAAAATAGTCTATGGCTACCCTGGCTGGTGTTTCCCAGTGGTTAGAGCTTCAGCCCATGCATCAAAGGGTCTCAGATTCAATTTTTGGTCAAGGGCACATACCTAGGTTGAAGATTCAATTCTTGGCCCCGGTTGGGGTCATGTGGGAGGCAGCCAATGGTTGTGTCTCTCTTGCATTGATGTTTCCCTCTGTCTCTCCCTCCCTCCCTCCCTTCCAATCTATCTAAAAATCAATGGAAAATATCCTCTGGTAAGGATTAACAACAACAATAAAACAATCCATGTGTCTCTCTCAAATAGATGTTTCTTTTTCTTTTTGTCTCACCCCTCCCTCCTTCCAATTCTCTCTAAAAATAAATGAAAAAAATATCCTCTGTTGAGGATTAACAGCAACAACAAAAATAGTCCATGACCCCTAAGACATAGGCACAAGTAACAAAAACTGGCTGAAAAAATAGTTGAAACTGTATTATTAATCTTTACTGGCTGAATGTCAGCCTACCTGAAGTGGATGAACATCAGAATAAAACTTACTAAGGATGAGCATGTATGGTAAGAAAAAGGCAAGCCAGACAGTGAATCACTGCAAGAGCCAAGGGGACAAATAATCTCTGTTCAAATGTATGTGAACATGAAAAGAGCAAATAAAATAAAATTAATAGCAACCAGTGACCTAGAGGTCACAAGAAGATACACCTGCCATGTTTGGAGATTTTGTATTTTTGTAATTCTAAAACCTACATAGTGCCAATGGAAGAAGCTGCTAATAATCAAGATTCAGAATGATGGAACTAGAAAGATGAAAATAACTAAAACAAAGGAAAGGCTGATGAGAACCTTACAACTTCATCATCACAGCACTTAGCAAACAAAGCTTTAACTATACTCTAAGTATTCAATTAGAGAGACTAAACTGTAGTGATCTTCTCTGTATTAACAAACAAAAAGATAGACCTCTATGGGACCTGCCTTGGGGGATTTAAAGAAAAAAGAACTTCCTTCTTGTCCTACTCTCCTCCACACCCACAGCCATTCTCTGAGATACCCATAGAAAAGATCCAGGCTGGACCAAAATTATGCCTGTCACCACTCTGAATAAAGATACTTACTAGTTCTTTAGTGAGGAGATATGATAAACTTTTGTTTTGTTTTTTAAAGAAATTTCCCCATTACTTTAATTCATTACCATATTTTCCACAAACCAGGGTATGATGTGACATTACAGTTGTTTTAATTTTCTTTTCCTTTTTATTGAGTTTATAAGAGGACACTCGCTAACAAAATTATACAGGTTTCAGAGGCAGAATTCCATAGCACATCACCTGTACACTGTATAATGTTCACCACCCCAAGTCAAGTCTCTGTCCATCAGCATTTATTCCCCCAATGCCCTCCTCCAACCTCCCCCCACAATCACTACACTATTGTCCATGTCTACGAGTATTTTTCTTAATCCTTCCACTGCTCCCCCACCCAGCCCTCCAAACCCCCCACCAACTGCTGTCACCCTGTTCTTATTAGTGAATCTGTCTCTATTTTGCTTGTTAGTTCACTTTGTTCATTAGAATTCACTTGAGTGAAATAATATGGTATGTGTCTTTCTCTGAATGGCTTATTTTACTTAGCATAATGCTCTCTAGGTTCATCTTTGCTGTCACAAAACGTAAGATTTCCTTCCTTTTTACAGTCGAGTAGTATTCCATTGTGTACATGTACCATCACATTTTTATTCACTCATCTACTAATGGAGACTTGGGTGGCTTCCAGATCTTGACTATTGTAAATAATGCTGCAATTAACATAGGAGTGCATATATTCTTTCCACTTAGTGTTTTAGGTTTCTTAAACTGTTAAAGATACAATATCTAAACTTGAGAGTTCCTTAGACAGCATTATGGCAATGTTATGTGTTAGAATTTCTCAAATAGACAGATAAACAAATATGGGTTTGGGACCAAGTTCTAACTTTACTAGCTGACTGGAGGGACAACTGGTACTACCGATATCAAAATATATTAATTACTAGGTTAAAATATTTTTTAAAGTTCAGCAACAGTGTAAGTGTGTAGTAGGACTAGAGATGAACATAAGGGGGAAAGAAGAAAAGAAATTCAAAATGAATCACTGAAGATATGAAAATATATCTGACTGAGTGATATATGTGGATATAGACTAGAAATCAATCAGTGAAATCTGAATCATCTAGAAAAATTCTTAGGTCATTGGTCTGTGTTTAACTGCTTGGTTAACCACTAAAAACAGTGATGTTAGAGGCCTCTATTGCCTTAGGGCTATATAGTTTTCTCCTTTTGTGCTTATACAAAACCTCCTGAAAACTTTCAAGGAAGCTTTAAAATAATTTTGAGTTGGTGATACTATAGGATACTCACTTAAAGAAAGAAAAGGGGAAAGAGAATAAGTAAACAGATTTAATCTGTTAAAGAAGAAAGAAGATGGAAAATGAAAATGGAGAACATATACAAAAAGATGAATAAATACTGGGTACCCAAAAAACATTGTGGTTGGGAAAAATATTGAAAAATTCAAGAAATTAGTAGTTCCATAATGCCCCAGCATTCAGGCTTTATTATAGCTATTATTTATAAGAAATTAGTGTGTAATATGGTAGGAGCTTGGGAGGGAGGAGATGTTGGTGAGTATGTTGGGGACATCATTTATGTTATTGGATATTTTGATACTTTGGGGCCTCTGGAGATTTATTCTCAGGTAATATTTTAACTTTTTAAAGCTGCCCTATCTATCCAAGGCAGCCAGACACAGATACTGGGCTTAGTATCTCCTGGACTCAGACAATAACACAATGACCTCATTAAAATGAGCTTAGTAGTTCAGATATTTGGACACGATGGCTACCTATTAAATATGGTACTTTTCAAGAATTTCTTGAGAGTCAGGCAGTTGGCTGGGACATACAAGTCTTCCATAAATACATATCATTGTACCTATTTGTATAATTTCCTTATAGGAGTTTAACATATTTAATTCTTTCCTAACACTAGAAACCAAGTTTTTAATTTAAAATATTACAGCTACTAAGCCATAATCAAAATAAATTGTACTCCATATTCTCAACTTAACCATGTTTTAACATGGAATGGAATAAGCCTTACCAGTATCACATGGATTATATGAAGAGGGTCTAGCTTTGTGATCCTGTTGTTTTGATTCTTACTCTAGTTGCTTGTCCAACAGGGCCTTCTTCCTGCTTGAGTCTTCTGTGGTTGCACTGCCTTTCTGGGCTCAACTGGCTTCACATGCAGATTCGCCAGGTCATGTGCATCTCTGATTTTAACCTAGGGTATCCAAAAAGAGGCAAGGAATCAAACCCATTAAATGGAAATTGTGTGGAGAAACTTCCTTACCAAAAAAAAAAAAAAAACTTCAACAGGCATGTCATTCTGAAACACAGGAAGGAGATAAAGTCTTATCTGTGATGTAGATGCCATGTTTATTTTCCTTCTTGTTTTTATTATTTGAAATCCTCTCTGTGACACAGTTTGGTCACATGTTTGGTTTTTGGTTCATGCTGAAATTATTTCTCTTAGGAAAAGTGTGAGATGGAGACAGGGAGAAGGGAAATAACTGTCTGTGTCTTCTGTAAGCCAAATTCCATGTAGATATATTTCTCAATGCTTTTTTTTCAGTTCTCCCATCAGTCCTAATGTAGGGCTTTTTATCCTAGACACATACACATTTTTAAACAGAACTACAGCTACACTGTGCATGCTGTTTCATAGTCTGCTAATATAAAATATGTTTCATGGCTTTGTTTACTCACTTCGTAAAAACAGTTACTAGAGAAAATTTGGAAAATCTGGCAAATGACATCTTGTGACCAGTACCAGAACTACAAGCTGTTACTACTAGACCTTTCCTATGAGAGAAGATTGGGAACTACATCTTGCAAGATAGCAATTTTCTCAGGCTTCTAGAATGTACCATGCTCAAAATTATAGTTTTGTTATGGATTGCACAAAAAATGAAATGCTAGTGTCTTCAAGTGGTCTGATCAAAAGAAAATGGCATTATTATGAAAATTGTAAAAATAAAGACTTATTTTGAAAAAGTATAATTCTGGAAAAAATGATCAATATTATTGTTTCCTGAGTATCTTTCCATATTTTTTTACATATATACATGAATGCATGTAATTGCAAACCACTTTTTTACTGTGCTCAAGCCCATAGTTTGAAAGTATTTTCCTTATCAGTATTTTCAATGTCATTTTAAATTAATCACTTCAAATATAACTCTCATAATTTGAAACATTTTGTCTCAAATTTTCTTCTGATATATTTTTAAATGACTAAATATGTATTAATAATTATATTTAAATAGATAGTAAAAAGTGTCCTGTCTCTCCAACCACACAAACAATCTCATTAGTAGGTAGCCTTACATTTTTCGGATTTTGTTACACAAATTTTATTAATAGAGTACTTTATCTTTAAATGATATAATGTAGTACTTGCTATTCTGCAATTTTCATTTTTCACCTAATATTTTCCAAATTACTAGATGTTCATACTTCATACTTCCATTTGTGAGCTATATAACATTCAATTGTATGTGTTGCACCATGCCACATATTTTAAAACCTGCTAATAAAAATGAACTAGATCCTCTCTCTGTTTCACTCATAAAACTAAAAAAATATAGAAATAGTTCTTGCTCACGATGGCCATACCTGTGGGTTGAAAGAATGAGTCACAAGGAGGACGGACACACGCAGGGCAGGGCTGTAGCCAACACAGCAACCAGGCTATGTGCTTGATCAGGTCCAGGAAAATTTCCACTACTGGCAAAATACAGGGAAGTATGTTTGCATGTGTGTGTGTGTGTGTGTGTGTGTGTGTGTGTGTGTATGTGTCTGAAACCAAATGGTGCACTGTTTAAGCTTCATTTTGTTCTTCTACTAATAAAAAATTATCATGGCAAAAAGCAATTCTAAAAATGCTGAAACTGGTTAAAAATATATTTTGACACCCCCCCCCAACCTGAATCTCCAGAAATGCTGATTGTTAAGAGGGGATTCTAGTTCCCTTCTTAAGGAAAATGCATATATTTTTTTACAAATGCTATCACTCAACAGCCATCTGGATCCCTTCCATGTACGTGTACATTGATATTTCTATTTCTGTTTTCATGTGCCAAATACTTTTTATGTTTACATTTTTCTGTCAGTTATTTTTGTGTAGGATAATACATGGTTAAGTCAAAATACAATAAACTCTCTAATGAAGATAGAAACATGGAATGCCATGTAAAAAATTAAAATGAACAGCATGCTTCACTTAAGTCTTAATTTAGAAGCTGTAATCTGATCACCCATTCCCACACTGTGGACTTCAGAAAATATCGGGAGAAACTAAAATTTCGGGGGTTGACTCTGTCACAGTAACAGCAATTTCCCTAACTCCCTATTTCATTCCCACCTCTCACACTCAAGAATCTATTTTTTTCCCATCGTAATACCAAAGCCCGAAGAAATTCCCAGAAAATAACTAGGTTTAAGACAGCCATTACCTTGAAGCTTCTTGTCAGCTGCAGCCTCCTGAAATGCAGCCCCTCCCCCAAGACGGGCCAGGAACAGCTCACTTCCAAGCTTCTCAGAGAATGCTCCGCCCCCTCCCTGTGATGGGGAAAGCAGGGGGCCTTTCCCTCAATTAGAGGGAGGAGAATAGCTAAGTCAACTGAAATGCACTTAAAGGGGAAAAACGGTCATTTTAAAAAGACTTCAATGAGAAATTGCAACATGTATCTCTTTAATTTCCGTTCAAAACACAGGGGTAGGTTATTTTCTGAAAAGAAGTAGCAAATCCCTTAATCATATTATAAAGACCCAGTTAAAATATCTCTCACATATTTTTCTTGCCCTTTCAGCATTTTATTTTTACAAAAGATATTAAGACACAGCTGGCCAAGTATCAGGGGAACACTCTGTAAAGTATGATTGGGTAACCATTATGCTGTACACCTGAAACTAATACAAAGTAATATTAAATTAAACACATTTTTAAAATAAAAAAAAAATGTAAAAAGAGAAAAAAATGACCCACTAGGTTCTTGTTTGTGATTGCAGTAAATTAATACATTATTTTGTGGAGAATTAAATATATACAATTTTATTTCTTCTGGCCCTGGGACATGATATGTCTCTCTTTTTACTCAGGCTATCTCACTCATCCTTCAGAATGTTTCATAGGTTTTATCGTTTTGTTTTGTTTTGTTTTGTTTTTCAGAAATTTCTAAACAAAAAATATCAATCAAAATCCTTACAGAAAATGGGTATCTGAATATACTGAAATTGAAAAAAAAAAAAAACTGGTAAAAACACAGTAAACCAAAGTTAAAAATAGAACTTGACAAAATTTTTTAATTTAAAAATCTTTAATCTAAAGTAGCTCTTGCAAATTAATAAGAAATAAACAGCAAAGTTAAAAAATGAGCAAAAGACAGCAACAGACAATGTTCTAAGGGCATAATTCTTCCCTACTACTTTTCTGTGAGTAAACTCATTTATTTTATATCAATTTGTTCAGTGGAGAAAGGGGGGTGTTATTCATAGGAGCTCCTCAAAACCTAAACATTCAAATGAAGATTAAAACTGAAAAATACATAAAAGATACAGACCTACCCTAATAATCAGAGATGCAAATATAAACAGCATGTCATTTTTCTACCTAATTTGACTTACAAAAGCAGTTAAATGATACAATGTTGAGTTGGCAAAGGAATAATGAAATGGGCACTTCTGTTCATCTGCAAGTTCACAAATGCTGGAAGAGGGCAAGACAAAATCAAAGCCAAAGTCGGACTCCCAAACAGAAGGATGTGTTCTATTTTCCACCAGTACTCACTGCCTCCTGGGCTTGGAATCCTGTCTCTTTGGTAAAGTCAAGGTTGAAACTATTCACCTTCACATTCTGAGGACATTGATGAATGTAACCTCACAGTGAATATTGCTTAATCTCATGTCCCTGCTGGTGAACATATTGGTGAACTGTAACCATCTTCAGTAATTGCCATAGTTATCTGTGAACACTCTATCTTTCACATCCATCCATCCACATTTCCACACAAAATTTAATTATATATATATATATTTTTTTTTTCTGCACTATTATTTTGCACTGACAATATCTGCATGATAGCATTCACTTGGTTATAGAGTAGTTATGACATGTGTCTTTGAGTAGCAGGGCTTGGCAGCAGTACTTTCTCTTTCAGATATAACTATTCCTGGACAGGGGCTGAAAAATCATTTGTTATACAAAGAAATGTCTATTTCATTCCATCTCATTTAAAACTGGCTACTCCTTGTTCTTGGGTTTATGTTGTTTGCAACTGCTAATTCAGTATGGAAAATATTTCTATCTTTTTTTATTGAGCTTTTTCATTCACAAAATGTTCAAGAAATTAAAAGTAAGATTTAGATTGCTATTGTCTTTAACTGCCAATGAATCATTCTGAGCATTAGTTCTCTTACGATGTTAAATTTAAAAACAAAAATCAATGTAAAATGTAAATAAAGTTGATGAGGCACTTACAGCTCCATGCATTATTAGAATAAACTAGTAAACATGACTCCTATCTCTTGCCACCTGTCTATTCGGGTTACAGAAACAGATCTCCAGTATGACACAGTGCTTCCTGTAATGAACAAATTAAGACAACTAAAACTATCTGCTTTGGGGAGTCTAAAGAAAGAATCCGACATTCTTCCAGAGAGACACAGAAGAGAAGAGTCAGGGTACTTCAATATTATTCCAGTAACCAGTCTGAATAAAGGACATCTTTGATGAGGAGATAAGGATATTTTATGGCAGAACCCAATGTCTAGCCTTTAAGAGTTTGTCATGGAGGCACTATGACAGAATTGCATTTCTGAAGTGTTCAAATATGCAGGCAGGAAGAGATTTCTCAGTGGACAGAAAACTTTCAAAGCACTGAAAATGTTGCTGAGTTGTTGTCACCTTCTCACACTATATAGCATAGTTAAGAAAGATGCATGAGTCACTTGCGCCTCTGATATTACCTTAAATTATCTAAATATCAAACCAGCCTGGCTGGTGTGGCTCAATGGTTGAGCGTTGACCCATGTACCAAGAAGTCACCGGTTCAATTACTGGCCAGGTCACATGCCCAGGTTGTGGACCCAATCCCCAGTAAAGGGCATGCAGGAGGCAGCCAATTGATGTTCCCTCTCATCAATGTTTCAAACTCTCTCTCCTCCCTTCCTCTCTCTCTAAAAATCAATAAAGAGCCCTGGCCAGTTTACTCAGTAGTTAGAGAGTCAGCCTGCAGTCTGGAGAGACCCGGGTTCAGTTCCTGCTAAGGGCACGTACCTAGGTTACAGTTTGTCCCCACCCCAGTTGGGTTTGTGTGGGTGGCAGCCAGTCGATGTGTCTCTCTCATATCGATGTTTCTTCTCTCTCTCTCTTCCTCCCTCTCTCTCTCATTCTATGAATGCAAAAAGTGTCCTCAGGTGAGAATTAAAAAAAAATCAGTAAAGAAAATAAATAAATATTAAACCATATTTAATAGTACAATAATAAGAAAGAAGTTAATACCTGTCTAAATGTGTAGTAAGAGATGGCTAAGACAGGAAGAATGAAAAAAGGGGGAAAGAAGTCCTAATTTAACCATACAGATACTTAATTTGCACATGTTTAATTAGTGAATCTGGATATAGACAAGCGATCAAAGAAGATACAAAACGTAGTGGAAAAGTCCTTAGGTCACTGGTCTGGTTTTAGCTATCTGGTTTTCTAGAAATGCAGTATTTTGAAGAGCCCGTAAACTTTTAGGGCTAGTAAATGGTTCTTGCCTGCTGTATTTTCTTCTTTAGAAACTTCACAAAAGAGTTTGAATAAAGTGTTTTCAACGTGTATGACTAAATTAGATTAAAACATGGCAGGTGGAGGTGGGCAAAGGAGAGGAAAATGGGGGACATCTGTAATAGTGTCAACAATAAAAATAATGTAAAAATGGCAAAAAAAGGAGAGAAAAGGGATCAGGTAAGTTTACTTTGCTAAGCAGGAAGAATGTGGACATTTAGAAAGGAGACAAGATACAAATCATAATAAATCGTGGGTATCAGATACAGAACGTCAGAGAAATGCAACATATTTAGGGGGTGGGGAACAAAACCAGAAAAGAAGTATTATAACACAAATCAAATATCCTATCTTTACTATTTCTGTTGTACTATAAGAAGGAAATGTGTGTGTGAGAGTCTCTGGCAATGTCAGGAACATTAATTTGTGTTCCTCGAAAATTTGTGCTTTTTGGACTCCATTGTGTTATGAGAGAACACTGTTATTGTTGCCCTGTCTGTCCAAAGCAATCAAAGGTCTCATGGACACAGACAGTGTGGTTCAGCACCAACAACCTCATTAAGAGCATGACTTCAAGAGTAAGAGACTTGTGATGGCTAAGAAAGAATTAAATATGTTAAATCACTACAAAATATTATTCAAGAGTATACAGATGTTGACTTAAAGAAGGTCATGAGAACTTAATGAAATGTTTGTAACTATGCAATCTAGTATGTGGTGATAACCTAGCATGGCTGTCAAAGATTGGAGAGTCAGACCACTCGCTGGAACCTCAAAATGCCTGAATAGCCTCTTGCACAATTTCTTCATCATAGTTTAACACATAAAGTTTTATTCCCTAAGCTAGAAGGTATGACTTTAAATTGCAAAACATTATGATGGCAGAACAGGGAGAAAACTAATATGTACCTCA